GGGCGCGGGCGTGCGCTGGGCCCAGAGTCCTTTTCCCTGACGCCATACCCTAACTCTACCCGGAGTGCCCGCCCCATTTACTCTGGCACTTCCCGGCTCAGCCCCTTCTTTCATTCCAGACCTGCCTCCTGGAGGCCGCTTTGTAACTGCCCCACGGACACCTCAGACTATTGAGAACCGAGCCTCCTCGTCTTTCCCGGTTCCGACCCCATGTGTGTCCCATCTCCGTGAGCTCCGAGCCGAACCCGGGCCCTGGCCGCCTCCTCCCCTCGCGCCTGCTTCCGCCGCCTTCACAGGGACCAGGCCGCGGGATGTGCCGGGCCCAAGTGTGCCTTTGGACATAAGGGTTATTTTAAGCTGCCCTTTCGTAGGGGAAGTTTGTATTTATAAAGGAATCTCCATGTGTAAGGGCGCCTCCTCTGTACCAGGAGAAGGATGACTCCTCACGAGAAGCTCGTCGGTGGGAAAGGCGCCCCTGGGAGCCGCAGCCCTCACCTCCCGGCCCCGCTTTTCTCCCCTTTGGCGGGAGGTGGGGTTTCAGTGGGTGTTTTAGGCCGCGCAGGGACTTCCTCATTCTCCCTGGGCCTCTCCATGTGCACACCAAGTGTTCACGTTAATAAACTTGTTTTTCTCCTGTTAATCTGTGTTTTTGTTATGGGGTCTCAGCCAAGAGCTCAGAGGAGAGGAAACGTATGTTTTCTCTTTGACAGGATTTTACAGCTGTTTCAGCCCAGTTCAGCCAGTCTGTCCGCGCAGGAATTACGGAAACTGAATGATCTCCTCGCCTCCCCGAAGCCGCCTCTCACAGAGGCTGGTTTACCGAGATTATCAGCCCGACCCCCGTTAAGTCCTCAACGTCTCCGTCGCCCTCGGGACAAAATAGAATCTGTTCCGCTTTCAGGGCGCTCACAATGCATTAGTGGCTCCAAAGAATTGCAGCTTTTCTCTCAACAATTCTCTTCGCGTGAATTCACTGGTCCTGAAGGCACTAGTCCTCCAGCTCTGGATTTATTTGCTTATTTATTTTTTAAATGTATATTTTTATTTATTTCAGAGAGGAAGGGAGAAGGCGAGAAAGATAGACACATCAGCGCTGAGAGCGGTACCTACCGGGGATGGAGCCCGCAGCCCAGGCTCGGCCCTCGGCCAGAATGGAGCCTGGGACCCTCCAGCCCTCCGGCCGGCGCCCTACCCACTGAGCCACACGGCGCGGGCGGCTCTCGGCCACTGGAGACTCCGTGCTGGTCGTTCATGCCTTACACATTTGTCTTCCTGAGGATCTGAATCTCCCTGGAAAAGATCCCTGGGCCTGGAGTGGGGCCTGATTGCCTTCTGCTTCCCGTCCCTATCAGTTAAACAGGGCGCTGTAAATGTCCAGTGACAGCATTTTTCCTTATTTAAATACTATTTTACTCCATAAAGAGTTTAAAAGAGCTGTGAAATAAAATGCTGGAAATCTGAAATAAGGGAGCATTAACTATTTGGAATAAAATAAAGTTAGACTCTAAGAGATTTTATACAAAAATATGTTGCACATGATTAACAATACTTCACGACAGTAGTGTTTGGGTGATGAGAACTGGTAACAAGCTAGATGTCCTAGACTCTAGGTTGGCAAACCGCGGCTCGCGAGCCACATGCGGCTCTTTGGCCCCTTGAGTGTGTCTCTTCCACAAAATACCGACTTCTGCGCATGGGCCACGAAGTTTCAATCGCACTGTATGTGTGCGCCCACACGTGGTATTTTGTGGAAGAGCCACACTCAAGGGGCCAAAGAGCCGCATGTGGCTCGCGAGCCGCGGTTTGCCGACCACTGTCCTAGAGGATTAGTTTAACCTCGGGGACTAGTTAAATTAACTATGGTATATCCCTACAATGGTATAAAAATATATCTGTGATCTTTGGTGAGAAAAGCACAGTGCAGACCAAGTAGAACATGAATCTGTCAATGTAAGAAATGTCCAAACCTGTAAAAAATTTATAAAACTTTGAGTCAAACTGATGACAGTGCTGGGAAGCAAGATCTCAAATGCTCTGGCGAATGACAGTTACAAAGTTTCTTTTAAAAAAAATCCTCACTGGAGGATATTTTAAAAATTGATTCCAGAGAGAGAGGAAGGGAGAGGGAGAGAGAGGAGAAAGAGAAACATCAATATGAGAGAAACATTGATCAGCTAGCTGCCTCCTGCATGCACCCCAACGAGGATGGGTATGTGTCCTGACTGGGATTCGAACCCATGACCCTTTGATGGGCAGGATGATGCCCTAACCACTGACCAAACTGGCCAGGGCAGTTGTGTAGTTTCTTTTATACATTTGGAATTAAGGGGGGACCATAAGGAAGACTGCATCAAAGTGGAAAAAAGCAAGGTGGGTATTTGATTACAGGAAGTTAAGATTATGCACATGTTTTTTAAAAAATATACTTTTATTGATTTCAGAGCGGAAGGGAGAGGGAGAGAGAGATAGAAACATCACTGGTGAGAGAGAATCATTGATTGGCTACCTCCTGGGGATCAAGCCTGCCACCCCACGTGTGCCCTGATGAAATTGAACCCTGACCTCCTGGTTCATAGGTAAATGCTCAACCACTGAGCCACGCCGGCAGCGCAATAAAAGTTTTCTTTGCCCCTCTTTGGGTTCCTGGCTGGGTCTGAAATTAGACTGACGAAGACATATTAACAGGAGAAAAGCATACACATTTAGTTCAGCTTTACATGACATGGGAGTCTTTTTAAGGAAATGAAGACTGGAAGAGGTTGTAGAGAAATACGATAGGTTAAAGGATATGAGGGAAGTGTAACTGGAGGAGACAGGCCTGTTGGTTAGGATTCTTCTGGGAGTCCCTTTGTCTTTGGAGATAAGGATGGTAACTTTCCTCTGGGTATAGGGAGGGTCCCTCTCACTTGAGGATTTTATGGCCTGTCTTTAGGGAGGAGGGAGGGGGCAGCAGGAATGGGACCAGGTGTTGGTCTGGTGGGGTCAGACCGGACCTGGGTTCAGCAATCTCAGTACTTGGGTTCAGTCTAGGAAAGAATTCAGAGCCAGGACTCCAACGGTAAGAGAACATTTATTTATAAAACCACAGAAGTAATTCATAGAAAAAAAATGGAAACACATTAACAGAAGTAAAGGAAGGGCCCTTGGAGATTGGGAGTGAGGAAGGCAGTGGCAAGGAGCCTGGGGGCATGGGGAGGAGGAGGGAGGGGCTCAGGCTCCCGGGGGAAGAGCACACTGGGTTCTAGGGTGGAGACTTTAGGTGACGTCCCAGGGGAGGGTCTCAGTAGAGTATTCAGCAGTTTTCCAGGTGAGTCCTTTCAGGGTCTAGGTCTCCACTGATTGATTGGGGGTCATTATCCAACGCCGCTGGTCCTGAGGGCAAGCAGCTGTGGCTGGGTTTGTTGCTTTTCTGGGCCTGGAGCTGAAATACAACTGAGGCCTAGATACTATCTCTAGGGAGGAAAGGGTGTCCAAACCACATGACCACGAAATGCGAGGGGAGGAAAAGTCACCCTGGGGGCGAGGTCCCACCCTATGATTGTCCTTTGCTGGGCACCTGGGGCTTTCCACCTGGTGACCTTCTGTGCCTGGCCCGTCGTCCTTGCTCTGCGTATGTCTGTCTAACTGCCTAAGATAGGGTGAGGGTAAGGAAGGTCAAAGTGACTTTCCTGTTTTCTCAAATTCCTTCAGTTTAAAATATTCAATATGCCAAGGTGCCATATTTTGGGGTAGCATGTTCTGAACCCCACTAGTGGCACAGTGATTAAGAGTGTGGCTCTTGCCCTGACCGGTTTGGCTCAGTAGATAGAGCGTCAGCCTGCGGACTGAAAGGTCCCAGGTTCGATTCCAGCCAAGGGCATGTACCTTGGTTGCGGGCACATCCCCAGTCGGAGGTGTGCAGGAGGCAGCTGGTCGATGTTTCTAACTCTATCCCTCTCCCTTCCTCTCTGTAAAAAAATCAATAAAATATATTTTAAAAAATAAAAATCATCATTCTCCCCTTTAAAAAAAATAAATAAAATGTTTTTAAAAAATTAAAAAAATATATTTAAAAAGAAAAAAGAGAGTGGCTCTTCTGGAGCCAGGTGCCTGTGTTTGAATCCCAGCTTCACCCCTTTCTGGCTTTGTGGCTTCAGTGAGGCTCTTCAACCTATCTAGGCATCACTTATTTATAAAATCTATCTATATAAACGGCTAATATGCTAAGTGTCCGACTATTTGGGTTATGATGTCGAGTAGCAACACTGGCTTCCTCTCCCTAGCAACGACTAGACTCAGGTGGGAACACTTTACACTTTAACCAAATGTCTGTGAAGCGTTTTCCCGTGCCTCATCTCATTTGATCCTCACAGAAGTCCTGGAGGAGGTAGATAGGAGACTCAGTGGAATCCTATTTTCTTTTCATTAGCAGGAAAATGGAGATTTAGAAAGCTTGGAAACTTTTAGAAACTTCCGCCTGAAGAGAAGTAAGAAATGGTGGGCCTTGAAAATGACTTCAGGTTTTCTCACTGAGCAGAATATAGTCAAACACCGCTGCAGTTAAATACTTTACCCTTTGTTCTCCCTGCGTGATCTACAATAATAATCTGCTCCCTCTTGATATTTACTGCTGTGTTGCTGACAATTACCTGAGAGAGAAGTTGGGGTGCTTCACTGGGCTGGAAAAAGTTTAGCAACATCAGAAAGCAGGTCTAATTAAGCAAGTTCGTTCTATATCTATAAAAGGGTAAGTTGACTTGCGCATGCGTGACACATATAAAGCTCTCGCTGGCGCCAGTCGCACATGAGTGTTTTGATCTGTCATTGTCGATCATGAATTTGTTTGTTTTTGTTGACATTCTGAAGCTGAAAGAAAGCGGCGCGTCACACGGAAGTAACAATGGTGACTAAATATGATTGTAATAGTGATCAGGTATATATAATTCTCCCCGTGTAACCAAAGTCGCCGTCATATTCAGAAACGAAGATGGAGGACCTCCTTTCAAAAGGGACTTGCTCATTCATTGTAAACCAGATCCCAATAATCCGAGTGCCACTAAAATGAAACAAATCAGTATCCTGTTTCCTACATTAGATGCAATGACATATCCTATTCTTTTCCCACATGGTTAAAAAGGCTGGGGAACAGATATTGCATTAAAACGCAGAGACAACAGTGTAATCGACAATAATACTAGATTTAATGGATGATGCTGAAAAGGATAATTTTCCCATCGAATTTCTTAAAAGTATTACTTCTTCAGGAATGCCGTGTCATAAATTAGAATTGAAAGTAGGTGCAATGATCATGCTACTGAGAAATCTTAATAGTAAATGGGGTCTTTGTAATGGCACTAGATTTATTATCATAAGGTTTCAACCTAACATAATTAAAGCTGAAGTACTAACAGGATCTGCGGAAGAAGAGGTTGTTCTGATTCCAAGAATTGATTTGTTCCCATCTGACACTGGCCTCAGTGTTAGAATAAGTTTAATTAATTTATCAGTCATTGTTTTTATCAATGTTGTTTTTATATCATGTTTTTGTTTCTATATCATATTTTTGTTGTTTTTATGTCATGTCTTTGTTGTTATATCATGCTGTTATTGTTTATTAATCAATTTATATATTATTTTCATATACATTTTACTAATTTTCTT